TAGAATGAGACCCCCTGTTAATACTCTGCTATGGAATCCCACCAATAACAAATGGCTAGTGAGGAAATTGTAGAGTTTGTGGTGTTTTAAGGGACTGATCACATCTGAATCTAGGCAATAGTTTAAAATGAGAAGCTTTTGTACCTTGGATGTTCTCAAGGAAGAAAATCAAGAATTAAAAAAGAAACGTGCTGTATTTCCCTAACCTCTGCACTTTTGCATGTTTTTGTTTTTCTGTGTTTGTTGCATGCCTTTACTCATTAATTATGTCAATAATGGAGATGAAATAATGTATTATACTTGTGGTACAGCTGTTTAGAATGATTCTTTCAGGAATGGTATCTTCTCCAGCACCTTCCCTCAGACAGTACTTGCTGTGCTTAGTTGATTAGTCTTTCCCTTAACTCCTCAAGTGGAATCAGTTGCCTCCTTAATGCTTTAGTTGCAGCTGACTCAGCTGACCTGAGAGTTGTAATGCCATGTTCCAGAATGGCTTCGAAACTGCAATGTTAATTATGATGAATGTTTGAAAGCCAAAGTCAAAGCAGAAGACTCCTGGGCTTGGCTTTCCTTTCCTGCCCATTGTCAAAGCCAATCTGGGCCTAACATTTAATGACAAGGAAATGGCTGTGCCTTCGGAGCAGCTTTTTCTTTAGACCTGTTTTGGGTCTCAGCAGTAGGAGGAATTGTAGTGATGCTTGATGCTTTTGTGTATTTTGTGGGCACTTGGGAGGGGGAGATCCAGGTCAAACGTTTTGTCTATGGTGGTCCAACAGCTTGAGGGTCTCAAATGGAGAACTGGGCAGAAGAATCCATAAAGGTAAGAAAGTACCCTTTGTGCAGACTCTAGGGCATTTGGGTTGGACAGAAAGGAGCAGTCGATACCAGAGTGCAGCATAACGGCACCACGTGTTGCTTCACCAGTGCTTCCGGCCTTTGCCTTGAGTCCCTCTCTGTATCTTCCTCCTCATGCCATTTCCTTCCACTCCTTTCTCCTGCTTCAGGGAGGTTCAGAGAAAAGGCTTCAATTCTCCACAAGATCGCCAAGAAGAAATGCCAGGTGGATGAGAACGAGAGGCAGAACGGGGCTGCCAACCACATGGGTGAGTACAGGGAGACTCTATCTATCCCATGCCTTCCCTGGGGCAGGAGGAGGGGAGCAGAGAGGCAGGACCCAGTGTTGGCACCCCTGACCCGGTAGTCCTGCAGATTTTTCCTGGACATCAGGAAATGAATCCCTCTTCCCCTGGTGGGTGCAGGGCACGATTGGACACAGTGCTGTCACGGTAACTCTGGGAGAACTCCAAGAAGAGTTAAGTGATTCTTTGAGAAACCTGAAATAAAACTGACTGCTAATGAGGCATCTCCATTTAAGAGTAGAAATAATTTTATTTTGGCAATTCTATATAAAGAGGTCCTTGGGCGGTGCAAATGGTTAAAGTGCTTGGCTGCTAACAAAAATGTTGAAGGTTCAAGTCCACCCAGAGCCATCTCAGGGAAAAAGGTCTGGCCATCTACTTCTAAAAAATCAGCCATTGGAAACTCTGTGGAATACCGTTCTACTCTGACACACGTGGGGTTGCCATGAGTCAGAATCGACTTGACGGCACCCAACAACAACAACCAGAGTTTATACGTATGACATTGCCTACAGCACGACCACTAAATTACTGGCAACTCCCTGAGTCACTACTGAACTGAGTGACAGAGTCCCTGTGAGATGACACTGCCTCTTTCCTAAGTATCAGCCCAGGTCTCTTTTGGTGGCTTTTTCTAAGCCTCTGGTACGACCAGATCATGACATTCCGGCATCTTATTTTAACTTGGAACACGATGTTCCTCCTCTCCTGTCTGTAACTATAACATAGCTCTCTAATTCCAAATGCAAACTAAATTTAACCTAATCTGAATCTATGCTGTAAACGATGCGATTGCCCAAGAAACTAAAATTAACTGCAGATAAAAATTCAACAGTGCTGTACTCAAAATACATG